ATAATTATGAACATATATAAATAAATATATATATATACCTCTTTCCTTGTGCTTGTGATGAGTTCTTCAAGATTGCGTGTGTGTATGTGCGTGTGTGTTTATATGTGCGTGTTCTCCTCTCTCTGGGACCACCACCATTATGACCGACAAATGGTTACCTTGAGCCAAGAATATAGAACCCGAGATTGTCTTCCAAAAACTGAGTTCATAACTTCATTAGGCTGGCAGCAGCAGCTTGACCCCAATTTACTCTTGAGACTTTTTATAAGTGACCTGAACCATGAGTTTTTAGTTCCTTGATAGATAATGATATTAAACAGAAAAAAAATGCCTTTCATATGTAAGTCTGTGCCGTTCCTACTCTATAATGTTGGCGATTGTGAAGTGGGTGTTTTTGTATGTTGCAGCAGAAGTGGTTTCGTATTTTTTCACGTTCTCGTAGAGTTAACATGCTGCTGTTGATTCGGGGCCCATGTGTTTATCACTCGGATTTCAACCCATCCTCAAAAAAAAAAATCGCCAAATGCTTGTTAATCCAGTAGCCGTTATCACAATTGATGATTGTAAAACACTTTACACATGATTCACAACTAATTACATTCCAGCTTTTCCTGAACTTTACTTCCTATGTTCGAAGAACGCTTCTCTAAATGCTTCACACGCACCGTAAACTCAAACAATTGTTAACAAAACCAAAACACCAATTCTAACCTACCCAAGGCCTACATTAAACTATAAAATATAATAATATTAACTTACATTTGATGACATACTATTTTTGATTATACAGTATGGAAACGTTGACGAATGCGTCTTAAGAGGCGGTCATGGCAGGACAAGCACAAGCTGAGGATGGGTTGTGTCGTTTGCTTCATCTCCAGTGCTTCGAAGATGAGCCTTTAAGCTCTCCTCGGAGTCTGGGGCACTCAAGCATCGAGCGGATTTAGTTTTCTTTCTTAACAAGACAGGGACTTTTGTATCTGCGAAGAGAATGATATAGCCTGCAGTTAATGACATATTTGTTGTACTAGTCAATCACTTTGTTTTTTATAAAATATATTAATAAATAAATAAATATATATATCTATATATACAACATAAATGTAAGAGCTACAAGTGATTTGGGTGCGTTCGGGACTTTCAGCTCGAACACAGTTTCCTTCAAATCGACTTGAGAATGGTCCAGGACGGACCGAAACGTCGTCGTCCCTTCAACTTCTAGTGTGTGGTCTGGTCAACACAGTTTCCTTCTGGCCCGTCAACAACAAACATAACTCTTGAGGTTGATGCTAATTATTTACTCTATAAAGCATATGTTCTCCTTTCAAAAAATGTTCTGTGTCATCTTACGTTTTTCTTATTCCAGTCCTTATTTTTTCTGTATATACGGTATGTATGTGTGCATAGGTTATTTTTATGCTTATTTTAAATGTACAAATTTTATACTACTCATGAATAATAATACATCAGATATATGTTGTTTTTTATTTATTCCCGTCTGCCCCCACCCAAAAAAAAAAAAATAGTAAAGGGGTTCCAGTCGTGAATCAGTGGCAACAGTGGTCAAATAAATATATGTATTCCAATGAGATCCTTTTATAAATTATTATATGTATATTACCAATTTAATGACTATAAGGCAAATATTTTCAATATCCAAACTCATTACTTTTATCAGATGCTTATCTGAGTCTACAGGGAGCGAGATCTAGCTCTCGAGCCCCGGTCTTGAGCTTCCCCCCCCCTCCTCCCAACACACACACACACGCGTGCACAACTATTAGGAATTATTCTTAATTAAAAAAATATTTGTAATTTCAGTGGTAAAATTTTGTATTTCTTGGAACTAGTGTGTGTGGGTGGGGTGTACCATGCGCTGCTCTTATGAGAAACACTGCATCCTAGCCACTCACTATCTTCATCACAGTAACCATCTTAACATGCATCGTCACACCTATCTCCTTCTTCGTCTCCTTACTAACTCTTCAAAAAACTTAATAATCCTTTATTACTATCCCTCTTCTTCACAAACTATCCTCCCCTTCACCACCTTCCCTATTCTTCACTACTCTCTCATCTTATTACCATCTTTCTTATCCTTCACCAACGTCCCTACTCCTCACCATCCCCTCTATCCTTCAGCATCTTATGCATCCTTCACGATTTCCCCTCTCCTTCACCACATTTCGCCTCCTTCACCACCTTCCCTACCATTCACCACCTTCCCTACCCATTACCACGTACCTTACCCTTCATCATGTTCCATACCCATCACAACTATCCATACCATTTACCACCTTCCCATTTATTCACCAACTTCCCTACCCTTCATCCTCTCTACTATGCGCTTTCCCTTCATCCCTGGAGTCTTAGTGAGGAGGGAGTCCTTATTTAGTGAGACTGGAAATTAGTACGACTGACAATTTCATTGAGGGTGCAAGGGGGCTTGATCCAGACCAACCTATGACCATCCCAGACAAAGAACAGTCACCTTGCAAAGTTTGGTGAGGCTAGCTCCTTGCGTCTGGCCCCAACCTCGAACAAACAGAAAAATAAACAGGCCTTCTCTTTTATAGACATGGAATATTAATGATGTTACAGAGCCGAGCTCATTCGTGCCTTATGGCCCGTAATTTGTTTAAATTAATGATATTTTCAAATATTTCCTTATAATTTAAGCAATTTCATTCAAAATTAGTTAACTAAATAGATACCGCATAAATAGTGGTGACAACAGCAGCAGCAACAAAAGTATAAAATAAACACAAGACCAACAGCAGCATTAGTATCAACAAGAGCAACAAAAACCTCAACAGTATCAACAACTGCAGTAGCAGCATGAGCAGCAGCAGCAACATACACATGCACACATTAAATACATATTATATATATATTTAATATATAATATGTGATCAGTGTGACTATATATATATATATATATATATATATATATATATATATATATATATATATATATATATATATATATATATATATATATATATATTAGTATATTTTGGTAGCAGTCTTTCCTGTAGACATATATTATTAAATATGACCGAAAAAGTAAGATTAATAATTCTAACACGAATTTTCTCAATCTTTCGTACATTTCTTTTCACTGTTGGAGGTAAATCAAAAATCAATTCTCCAAAATTCATTTTTATTTCTAGTCTGGTGGTGACGAGGGAGACTAGAAATAACGGAGACTAGAAATAAAAATGAATTTTGGAGAATTGATTTTTGATTTACCTCCAACAGTGAAAAGAAATGTACGAAAGATTGAGAAAATTCGTGTTAGAATTATTAATCTTACTTTTTCGGTCATATTTAATAATATATATATATATATATATATATATATATATATATATATATATATATATATATATATATATATATATATATATTTTATATATATATATATATATATATATATATATATATATATATATATATATATATATATATATATATATATATATATATAAAAAAAGAAGTATTCACAGAGTAGATAAGAACAGTTTACAAGGAATGAGAGCAGCATGAGAGGCCATAAATTAGAACAATATATACAAGAGTAGTGAGTAAATAAGTTTCCGAATTAGGTTGTTGAGACTAATGCCACACACATAGATTTATCATACATGTATATGATAGAAATCTAGATGGTCCGTCACCACTGATTAGATGACTTGACAGCCGAAAAGTTTGGGGTCCAAGAGCAAGCGCTTGGCCCTGCAGGCACAACTAGGTAAGTGCACACACATTCACTCCATCTCACTCACTCACTCAGCAGCGAGCAGCAGTGGCAGACGAAGTGATCCAGGCTCAGTAATTTTATTTCCAACCAAAGGCAATAACATGCAGATGAAGACTGCTTCCACAAAGACGTAGATCTTCACCAGGCGAGAAGAAAATGATGAAAATATCTTTAAGCTTAGGAAGAGATGGTGAATCGGAAAGTTCTTCAGGGCTGAAGATGAGATTAAAGAAAGTGTCCCAAATACTGATAAGTGAAAGTGCCTATATGGATATAGGGAAGTGACTTGTTGACGTACCTCTATGGATGAGGGCGGGATTAGAGGAAAGTGCCCTGATAAAGGGAAAATGAGATGGAGAAATGTGTGCACAAAACTGGGGAGGAGAATGTGTCTTGAGAGAAATCAAGCTTGAGAGGATGATCGAGGGAAGGAAATTAAACCTAGCTGCTGATGCGTTGGCGATTTATGCATTCTCTGGTGGGATGAGATGAAGGAGAACCAGGAGATAGATGGTGAGGGAAAGACTTGAAGTAAATGGAGCGGGAGAGACTAGGAAATAGATGGAGAGACTGCGAGAGAGAGATGGAAAAGAGACTGAGAAAGAGATCGAGATGCAGAGACTGGGAAAGAGATGTAAAGAAAAAAATTAGGCAATAAATATGGAATGGAGATCATAAGAAAGATTGTTCTGTAGAAGCTTGGATATATAACAATTGGGAAAAACTGTTGAATAAACAGAAGGACCAAAAGGCAGATGGAAACATGACAATAAAAATACTTATTATAATTAAAGAGAAAATCATTAGGAGCCATGAGAAGGATTCGAACCCCCCCTAACTTAGTACTCTCAAGCAAACGCCCTAGACCACTACACCACGACATGGTCTAGGGCGTTTGCTTGGGAGTACCAAGTCAGCGGGTTCAAATCCTCCATTTGGCTCCGACGGATTTTCTCAATGATACCCGACCTTAACGTGATCTAATTGTGCACTATAATTAATCAAAATATTAATATTGATTGGAATAATTTAGTTAATTAGGCCAAATCAAGTAAGTAATTATCAAAAGACGGCACAGGCCAGGGGAAGCATATATCATTTAATCAGCTCGTGTCTAAACAGCTGTCATGTATTAGAACAAAAGTATACTGTTTAAAACAAGATGTTCTCACATTTTGTTAAATCTTTATAAAGTCATTTAACTAATGCATCATAAAAAATTCATCTTAAACTAATGATGCATTAGTTAAAGATGCATTACTACTCCACCAGAGTACATACACCCACAATTTACTTTTATTCTGATCACTATTCTGAATTGAAGTACTCTAACTGCTGAAAACTATGGTGGATGGCAGTTTTCATGGCTGCAGCAAGTGATAGGCTTTACACTCCACATTTTGGACCGAATTTCAATTTCCGATATTCTAAAGTATACAACAATGTGTATAAACCACAGATACCTTTCTCTGTGCTTGATTATACAGATAATATTTCTTAAATTTGCATTTTATATAGGTAATTCGCTTATTCATTTATTATAATGTCAAAATGATTCAGCATTCTCAATTCCTTTCACGACCCTCAGCCTGCCATCCAATAAAGAAGCTCTGTTCAATAAGGTTCGCGGTTTTATGATAAAACACACACAAGACTCCCATCTTGGAGAGATAGTTTTGAGAGAACAAAGGTTATAATGCCTTGAGGGCGTTGATGATATTCTCATGGACAAAGAGGAGTTAGGAAAGCCTGGCGTAATTATTTTGAGACGCTGGGATACCTTATCTTGATTATTTAAGTGAAAGAATGTATACTAGAGAACGAAGCGTACACAGGGGCATAAATTATACGGAGTTTAGTGTCAGCGGATGACTATAAATGTGACTGGTGGGAAGAGCTTATGGAGGGATTATTAAATGGGGGACTGAGAGATATTGACTATATCAGAGAGGAAGATTGTGTTGTGGGTATTCAGGGAATGAGTGATTGAACATGGGATGAATGTAAATAGGAGGGTGAGAGTGCATGAGACTGAGTTCATAAGATTTTCAATGCATGAGACTGTGAGTTTGTGAGAGTTTCAGCGAATAAAGATAAGACAGCAAATAGATGATTGATGTACTCACCTAATTGTTCTTTTGGGGTGTTAAATTTCTACTCTTTGGCCCTGCCTCTCAAAATTCAATTAACTGGTACACAAATCTCGGAGCCAAATGGACTTTATTATATGAATCTTCCTTTATTATATATGAATCTGTGGTTTTAGTTTGTGCTCACCACTTTACATCTTTTGTTCACTGTGAAAGTTAGGGACACAGGCCTGTATGTAAGTGCTTCCTGTCTGTCTCCCTTCTAGTATATTGGCACAGCATTAGCTTTCTTCCAACATTCTGGTAGTTGTCCTATTTCTATTTATTTTATAATCAACGAAATTACCCAACCAAGGGCCTCCACTCTTTCTGCTTTGCTTGTGGTCTTATCCATGTTGAGATTCTGTCTGGCTCAACAACCGTAAGCATATCTAGTGCCAGCAGATATCTTCTTACGTCATCTTTGGTAATCTGAAAGTTGGCAAGTGCTGCTTGGTTCGACATTGTCCTACTCAGGTGTAATACTCTTCCTCGTTTAATTTTGAAGACATAGAAATTCTAGTTATGTTCCTCACAAAGATCCCTGTCATTCCCTGTAGGCGTATCATCCTCTATCCTTTGT